AAGAAGCGTGTATGTCAATGTATACAAAAATCATGGTTGAATCCTATGACACATTACGCATCACACAGCTCATATGCGGGCAACAGAGGATATAATATATTACGTGTGCAAATGACACATGCCACCCTTCCGATGAAGGACTTGTCGCATATGCTGACTTGTACAATGTGTGAGATATCCTCCCCCTTTTTGTGCATATAAAAAGGTACGTTGTAAAACCGTTTCATTTGGCAATGTGGAAGTTTATACGAACCGGAAAGGAAGCATCAATACGTAAGCAAGAAGAAGTAAAACATGTTACATATTATAAGAATAGGCACTGTATGAATTAACTGAGATGGTTATTGTGCAATACATGTCACACATATAGGACGTACCAAAATTAATTATTCGCCATATATGCACATATTTATATATAGAGAATAAGAGAAGGACGCATCCTTTTTTGTTTTTGTCAAATGCTCTGTCCTTTCATCATGTCTATGGACCCAATGATTACAGAAACAAAAAACAACCATATATCCACGGAATATTTTTATTAGGAAAAATGTACAAACAACATTATAATGTACAAAGCGGAACAATAAAGGTAAATGCTATAAAGGAAAAATAAGCCACATCATACAAAATGTATACAATATCATTATGAGGGTCAATCGAAGAAAATATGTACAAGCATACAGTAACATTGAAGTTGCCTGCCGGAAATACAATACAGGAAGTTACTTATGGTTTTCGGGATACTTTTGATTTTACGGGTTACCTCTGATTTTTCCGGAGCAGTTGCGCTTTGTGATATTCCTTCGGACGCAATTTTGTGCTTTCAAAACTTTCTTCGGCATTTTTGCCTTCGCTTTCGGTAGCAGCACCGGAATAGCAGAAGTGAAAACATACTGAGTACACCCATTCCACCTGCACCGGAGGCCATGGGAATCCCAAGTGCACACCAATTTCCTGACGTAAGTGAAAACATAGTTAAAGATGCACTTGAACACGCACTTCCAACCCCTAGAGCTGGAAGTGCAAACGCAACGGCACAGCTAGCACCAACCATTATTGCACAGTAAATGACAATAGCCGCAACGAAGAACTTGCAGTACCTATATAGAATATATGTGGCCAATTTCCGTCTACTAAAGTCTCTTCCGGGTTTCATTTTAACGGCATCGTTCTGCTTCCCATTCTTTGTGCTTCCGGTGCTTGCGCTCGTTCCTGTAAATTAGGCGTGTGGAATAGGATTCGATGAACATTCTATCTCCCCAACGAGGCGTTTTTTCGGGGGACAAATCTGAACATACAACTTTCGACAAAATTTGTATTTTCTCTCCTCGTCCTGTTTGCACATCCGTTTTACCTGTACCCGAAGATCCTTTCGGCGCCTGTTGCGTTTTTGCACCTTGTCCTTTATTTTGTTTGGATGGCGGCAATGACCCTTGTGCACCAACCTTCGAAACGGATGTGCTAGATTTTTCAATTGACTCGGCGACTGCAACATCGGCAGATAATTTGTCGCCGTTATAAATTTCTTCTTCCCTTGCATCATGTTCCATTTTGCACTTTCTTTCATAATGGACTTCTTGTGGTATCTCGTACTCCACGACTTTCCGTTCTTTTAGAATAGCTCCTGCTCCGTCTCTATAACATCGTTTTTTTGGTGTCGTGCATTGTTCGCGACAATATATTCGTTTAGGACGAGATGCATAGGTTTGTGCATAAGGTTCGTCGACATCGTCGTAGGCACCTTCATAGGTTTCTTCATCATCGTCATAGTGTTCGAATGCCATCGGATCTAATACAAGGTCGTGGTCTGATGGAGTTGCTTTTACCTTTGCTAAACTTCGGGCAACTCTCTTATGCACTTTGGCGACATGTTGTTCTTGTGTTTCGAAGTCATCTGGATGCTGTAGAAAGGGGAAGCGAAGAGGAGTGGTGATGAGTTGTATTAATAATAGAATGGCAATGGAGAAAGGAACAAAAAGGGGAAGTAAGAACCGGAAGGACAAAAATATACATATAAATATTCAGGCATGTTGCGTACGGCATATATATAAGCAGTCGTACAAACTGCGCATTCTCCACATCTATATGTGATCATGTAATATTTCATACTCGACTTACCTTTAAGAAGATGCAAGCAACCACAAAAAGGATAGCAAATTTTTTGGAGGAAAAGAACCTGTGTGCCTTTTTGTCATGTGTTTCGCCTTCGTCATTACCTGCGGAATATGCTTTGCCATTTCGGGAT